TACATACATTACATACATACATACATACATACATACATACATACATACATACATACATAACATACATACATACATACATACATACATACATACATACATACATACATACATACATACATACATACATACATTACATTACATACATACATACATACATACTTACATACATACATTACATTACATACAATACATACATACATACATACATACATACATACATACATACATACATACATACATACATACATACTTACTTACATACATACATACATACATACATACATACATACATACATACATACATACATACATACATACATACATACATACATACATACATACATACATACATACATACATACATACATACATACATACATACATACATAAACATACATACATACATACATACATACATACATACATACATACATACATACATACATACATACATACAAAAATACATACATACATACATACATACATACATACATACATACATACATACATACATACATACATACATACATACATACATACATACATACATACATACATACATACATACATACATACATACATAATATACATACATACATACATACATACATACATACATACATACATACATACATACATACATACATACATACATACATACATACATACATACATACATACATACATACATACATACATACATACATACATACATACATACATACTTTACATACATACATACATACATACATACATACATACATACATACATACATACATACATACATACATACATACATACATACATACATACATACATACATACATACATACATACATACATACCAACATACATACATACATACATACATACATACATACATACATACATACATACATACATACATACATACATACATACATACATACATACATACATACATACATACATACATACATACATTACAAAACATACATACATACATACATACATACATACATACATACATACATACATACATACATTACATACATACATTACATACATACATACATACATACATACATACATACATACATACATACATACATACATACATACATACATACATACATACATTACATACACAAATACATTACATTACATTACATTACATTACATTACATTACATTACAGTACATTACATTACATTACATACATACATACATTACATACATACATACATACATGACAACATGACATGACATGACATGACATGACATGACATGACATTACATGACATGACATACATACATACATACATACATACATACATTACAATACATACATACATACATTACATGCATTACATACATTACATTACATACATACATACATACATACATTACATGCATTACATACATTACATTACATTACATTACATTACATTACATTACATTACATTACATACATACATACATTACATTACATTACATTACATTACATTACATTACATTACATTACATACATACATACATACATACTTACATTACATTACATTACATTACATTACATTCATTACATAACATAACATAACATAACATAACATAACATAACATACATACATTACATACATACATACATGCATACATACATACATACATACATACACACATACATACATACATACATTACATACATAAATACAAACATACATATATACATACATACATTACATACATACATACATACATACAGACATACATACATACATACATTACATACTTGCATACATACATACATACATTACATTACATTACATTACATTACTTTGCATTACATTACATTACATTACATACATACATACATTACATACATACATACATACATACATACATACATACATACATACATTAATTACATCCATACATACATTACATACATACATACATACATTACGTTACATTACATTACATTACATTACATTACATTACATTACATTACATACATACATTACATTACATTACATTACATTACATTCATACATGACATGACATGACATGACATGACATGACATGACATGACATGACATGACATGACATGACATGACATGACATGACATGAATACATACATACATACATACATACATACATACATACATACATACATACACTACATACATACATACATACATACATACATACATACATACATACATACATTACATACATACATACATACATACATACATACATACATACATACATACATACATACATACATACATACACACACACACACATACGTACGTACGTACGTACATACATACATACATACATACATATGTACATACGTTCATACATACATACATACATACATACATACATACATACATACATACATACATACATACATACATACATTACACACATACATTACATACATTACATACATACATACATTACATTACATTACATTACATTACATTACATTACATTACATTACATTACATACATACATACATACATTACATACATACATTACATACATACATACATTACATACATACATACATACATACATACATACATACATACATACATACATACATACATACATACATACATACATACATACATACATACATACATACATACATACATACATACATACATACATACATACATACACACATTACATTACATTACATTACATTACATTACATTACATTACATTACATTACATTACATTACATTACATTACATTACATTACATTACATTACATACATACATACATTACACATATACATATACATATACATATACATATACATATACATATACATATACATATACATATACATACATACATACATTACACACATACATTACACACATACATACATACATACATAACATACATACATACATACATACATACATACATACATACATACATACATACATACATACATACATGCATTACATTCCATTACATTCCATTACATTACATTATATTACATTACATTACATTACATACATACATTACATACATACATACATACATACATACATACATACATACATACATACATACATACATACATACATACATACATACATACATACATACATACATACATACATACATACATACATACATTACATACATACATACACATTACATACATACATACATACATACATACATACATACATACATACATACATACATACATACATACATACATACATACATACATACATACATACATACATTACATACATTACATACATACATACATACATACATACATACATACATACATACATAAATACATACATACATACATACATACATACATACATACATACATACATACATACATACATTACATACATACATACATACATCACATACATACATATATACATACATACATACATACATACATACATACATACATACATACATACATACATACATACATTACATACATACATACACACATACATTACATACATACATACACACATGCATTACATACATGCATACATCACATACATACATACATACATACATTACATACATGCATACCTACATACATACATACATACATACATACATACATACATACATACATACATACATACATACATACATTACATACATTACATTATTTACTTACATACATTACATTATTTACTTACATACATTACATACATACATACATACATACATACATACATACATACATACATACATACATACATACATACATACTTACATTACATACATACATACATACATACATACATACATACATACATACATACATACATACATACATACATACATACATACATACATTACATACATACACACACACATACATACATACATACATACATACATACATTACATTACATACATACATACATACATACATACATTACATACATACATACATACATACATACATTACATTACATTACATTACATTACATTACATTACATTACATTACATTACATTACATTACATTACATTACATTACATTACATACATTACATTACATTACATTACATTACATTACATTACATTACATTACATTAGATTACATTACATTACATTATATTATATTACATTACATTGCATTACATTACATACATACATACATTACATACATACATACATACATACATACATACATACATACATACATACATACATACATACATACATACATACATACATACATACATACATACATACATACATACATACATACATTACATACATACATTACATACGACATACACATACATACATACATATATACATACATTACTTACTTACTTACTTACATACATACATACATACATACATTACATTACATTACATTACATTACATTACATTACATTACATTACATTACATTACATTACATTACATTATATTACATTACATTACATTACATTACATTACATTACATTACATTACATTACATTACATTACATTACATTACATTACATTACATTACATTACATTACATTACATTACATTACATTACATTACATTACAGTACAGTACATTACATTACACATACATACATACATACATACATACATACATACATTACATTACATTACATTACATTACATTACATTACATTACATTACATTACATTTACATTACATTACATTACATTACATTACATTACATTACATTACATTACATTACATTACATTACATTACATTACATTACATTACATTACATTACATTACATTACATACATGCATACATACATGCATGCATGCATACATACATACATACATACGTATATGCAGGACATCGATCGTAACATACATGCGTCGAATATGTATAATACGCATTTGATATATATATATATATATATTCATATATGTATATATATATATATATATCATGTCTTCATCTTCACGTGTCGAGGGCTTTGGACTAAAGAGCTCGCCACCGAGCGCGAGCAGCGACAGCGCGC